TTTAACTAAGATTCTTGTGATGTCATCCCTAGTTACAACAATGTCATCAATATATACTACCAACATGGTGAACCTACCATTAAATTTCCTTATGAACAAGATGTGATCAGTTTCACATTGAGAGAATCCAATCTCTAAGATAACAGTTCTAACCCTATCAACCAAGCTCTAGGAGATTGCTTGACCCCATTCAAAGACTTCTTCGAACAACAAACCTTCCCTTCACTATTAGGAAAGCTTACTCTAGGAGGTTAATCCATATACACTTCTTGCAGATCTTTGCTAAGAAAGGCATTCTTTACATCCATCTGATATAAAAGCCAAGATTGTGGATAGTTGGAGACACAATCATACAAATAGATTTCATTTTAGCTATTAGAGAAGTTTCTAGATAATCAATACCATAGGTTTGGGTGTACCCTTTGGCCACAATACCATAGACCTAACAAGGACCTTATCCTTGGGACAAGGAATAATCACCATGTTGAGAGTGTAAGGGCATTTACGTCCTTTCAGGTTTTTTTATATTTGGCACCTATTCAAGGGCCCATTTGTATTTCTCTTTAATGTGTTAAGTAAAATATTTTTCAAGGTGTGAATAATAACACACCTGAGACTCTCAACAACAACCTTCTTCTTCTTGAATACTTTAACTTGGTATCAAAGCATTGGAAGATCAAGGAAAGTATCAGCCATTGTTCGTAACTCACAGACGAACCTACTGATATTAGCACGCCACCGGTTGATGTCAACAGCTTGTACAGTCAGCGGCGTCCATTTGTGGTTTTGAAACTCATTGATGTGCCTTGTTTTTAGAGGAATTTTGATATACATTTCATGGAGGTTTGAAGCTCTTTTACATTTTTCTTAGATTTTTAAGGTGAAAATTGGCGAAAAATACAGATCTGGAGTTTAGGGCTTGCATGCTCACATGGTGGGTTGGTTGTTGTTAAATCCACTTATGTTTGAATCGTGGTAAATTTCTGAGACTGCAGGAAGTAGTCTCATCTTTTTTGGGAATTTTTTTTGTTCTCCTATTTTGCCACCAACACCTTCTTTTCCTTTGTTTTATTGTTGTAACTCGTGTTTAACCTTCAGGGAAAGGTGTTTGGGTGTTCAACTAGTGTTGGGATACTGTGGTGTTGGTGAGAAGAGTGTTTTTAGAGGTGTGGTGATCAATGGACACACAAAGATGTATAAGTACCTACCTATGTCCTCTTGGGAAGTAACGACAATGTTGGAGGGCAGATTACTACTGTAAAACTTGATGGAACAAATTTTCTTGAATGGTCTCAATCAAATAAGCTTACAATCAGTGGAAGAGTTAAGCTTGGGTTTATTACTGATAAGGAAGCTAAGCCAAACCCTGAAGATCCAAATTATTCCAAATTGGAGCAGGATAATCTGTTGGTTATGTCATGTCTTGTATGCTCTATGCAGCCTCACATTGCCCGCAACTATATGTTCCTTCCAATAAGGTTAACTTCAACTTATTCTCAAGTGAAGAACATTGCTAGAATCTATCAGTTGCGAAGAGAAGCATGTAATATGCGACAGGGGGAGAAATCAGTGGCCATGTATTTTTCTTCCTTACAATCAATTTGTGAAGAAATGGATCATTTAGGAGCTTTGGAGTGGAAGGATCTTGTTGATGATGAACAATACAGGAAGTGCATTGAGAAAAACTGAGTTTTTGATTTTCTTGATGGACTGAATGCTGAATATGATTTCACTAGGAAACACATCCTTAGTGCTGATATTTTGTCACTCTCCACAACATATTCTCTAGTGTAGAATGAAGAGAGCAGGAGGATTTCTATGATGCAAGTTTCTGTCAGTGAGTACACAACCCTTGTCTCTACAAAACCCAAACAGAGTTCCAGTAAACCTGAAGAGGTTGTTTGCGAATATTGCCAAAGCACACCAAGGGTAGGTGAAACTAAACCCCCACCTAAAGCTTGAGAAGTTTAAAACTGGAAAGAAGGTAAATGCTCATGTTTCCATAGCTAGTCATGATTCCCTAACTCACATGCTTGAGGGAAATTCTTTTGCTCAGGCATCTACTCATAACACCTCTGATGTAATGAAAAAATTGAGAGGCATCTTACTCCATCTTGAAAAGAGTGGGTTGCCTACATCTGCTGGTTCACATACATGTGCCTTTGCAAAATTAGGTATTGTACTTGTGTGTCATGCCTCATCCTCTGGCTCTTGGATAATTGACACAGGATCCAGTGATCATATGAGTAGTATGCCTTCCTACTTTACCACTTATAAACTTTTTTTAGGGAAAGGTAAGATTATTGTTGGAAATGGATCTTAGACCCCAATCTCAGGTTTGGGTGAAGTTAAACTTACTAACAACCTTTCTTTGAAATCTGTTGTCTACATCCCACAATTATATAGAAATCTCTTGTAGGTTAGCTCACTTACAAAGTCTCATAATTGTTTTATAACCTTCTTTCCATATTATTGTGTCTTTTAGGATTTGAGTACGGGGAAGATTGGCAATGGACATGAAGCCGATGGAGTTTACCTTCTTGATCAATCTCCAAAGTTGGGGTTAATGTGTCAGTCTGAGTCCTGTCATGATGAGAAACTAAGTTAGTTGAAATTGTGCCATCTCCATCTTGGGCATGTGTCTTTTGGTTCATTGAAGTTTTTATTTCCTAGTTTGTTTGAGCCATTGCCTAGTTCTGGTCTACAATCTGAAGTTTGTCAACTATCAAAGCAATGTAGAACCACATTTTGCAAGTAATAAGAGTGGTAATGTTACTTTTCATTTAATACATACTAATGTTTGGGTCCTTATTCTATTCCATGTATGGGTGGTAATAAATATTTTATTTTGTTGATAACTACTTGAAGAGCCAAGATAAAGTTCCTTAAATTATAAAAGGCTTTTTCAGTATGGTGGAGACACAATTTGGAAAGAAGATTAAGATTATTAGATCTAACAATGCTAAGGAATACTTTAAGAAGCACTTTCAAACCTTCCTTGAAGAGAAAGGAGCAATTCACCAGAGTTCATGCCCTCATACCCCACAACAAAATGAGGTATCAGAGAGGAAAAACAGACATGTGGTTGAAGTTGCCAGGGGATTGCTATTCCAGATGCATGTCCCAACTTGGTTTTGGGGGGATGCTACACAAACAACTGTATATCTTTCCCAAGTTGTCTTGTGCTTTGGGTCAAATCTGGGTTTGGTATTAGGTACGGAGCACCTTTCCTCTTAAGAGGATAATGCTTATCTCTTAATAGAGTCCAGTCCAAATCAAGTTTGGATAATCTCTTAATTATATTAGGAGAGTGCTCCATAAGGAGATAAAAGAAGAGGGTGGACCAGTCTAGAATAACTCTCTCTCTTGATCTCTCTTATTCTCTTTATCTCCTAAGAAACCCTAATTTGACCTATGCTTTCAAGAACTGAATTTTGAAAAGTTTTTCAAGTTTTTGTAAGAAAAACATTGAGGAAGATCAGGCTCATTCACCCCATTCAATCCAAGCAAGTTGGATAGCAGTTTTGGAGAAAATAGTGTTTCTGAACCGGCTTCATCTATACATTGTGCCATCTACAGTGGAGGCTGGTTTTAGGACTAATTTGGGCGTGAACTTCCGCCTTGGGATCTGCATTTGTGGTATCTGTATTAGGTATAATTTCCCCTTTTGATTTGGTTCCAAATCTGGTCCGGTTCAATGCAAGATCGATCAGGAAAAATGCAATTTTTCAAAACACCAAGAAATCGGTTCCCAAAAGGGTTAGAAAATTTTTGAAAATTTGCCCAGCCATCTAGCATGGTTCGGCCTTCCATAAGATGGATTCTCACCCTTCCAACAAAGGGTACCCTAGAAAATGGCATTTTATTTTCATTGATGATAAAATATCTATATATGGGTATTATACCTTGGTTGCAAGGAATTTTGTTTCTCGGACTAGCAAGAAATAGTCAATGGTAACTAGGTCCTCAGCTAAGCTGCTAAGGTGGAGTAAAGTGCTACAACCCATAGTGTGTCAAAGTTGTTATGGCTTAGATCTCTCATAGGGGAGAAAGGCATTGACCATGATAGGCCAATGGTGCTGTATTGTGATAATCAAGTAGCAATTAATGCTGCTTATAGCCCTATTCAACATGTCTGCACAAAACATATTCAAGTTGATACATTTTTCATAAGGGAGAGATTGCATCTGATGAAGTGTGTCTACCATTTATTGGTTCTTAATAACAGTTAAAAAATGTACTTACTAAAGGAGTTCCAAAGGCCAAATTACAGTAGTATGTAAGCAAGCTAGGCACTATATAGATTGTGGGCTGGATGCTAGCAGCCCTTAGATGTTATTGCCTTTATTTTATTTTATGTTAATGGGCTTGTTAACTCTTTTCTTTATTGTTTATTAAGCACCCACCCTGTTAAGGGCATACTTGTAATTCCATTCTTTTTATTTGAGATTATAATAAAAGATTATTGAGGGGGCTGGAGAGATACACGATCAACCCTTCTACTTCTCCCTTCTTCCATGTTCTTCTTCTTATTCTCTCATCCTCTTTCTCTTACTTTTCTCTGATTAAACTCAACTACTTTGCTGGTTATACAATAGGCTTTATATATTATATATGGAGATATGAATGTTGCAAAGTATATAGAGGACTTACGACATAAAAGTGTGCATATTAGATCATTTACCTAAAAGCATGTTCTTACATTATAGAATTGCTTATTTATTATTACATATAAACAATTACGTATATAAATTTTAGCCATGAATGGGTATGCATATTAGATGATTAGAATCTTTCTATATTTACAAAGGATATGTAATTGATATTCAATGCTGATGTGGTAATAAATATGGTCTGAGACAACCAAAGAGGGCATAGTCTAAAGTTGATGATTTTTTTTTGTTAGGTTGGAAAATGATTATGGATTAGTTAAATCTTGAACCTAGTAAGAGCTATATACAATTGCTTGGCTTTGATTATGCTCTTTTTCAATTTTGCAGTTACATAAGCAGTACTGGACTAAGTGGTGAGATTCCTTCATCATTTTCTAAACTATCAAACATGAAAATCATGTAAGAAATTATGATTCTTATTAGTTTCATTAAATATTCTAAATCATGTTTCTTTATTATAATAAGCATGCAAATTATTAAACAAACTTTATTCATCTATATAAAACCTATTGGATGTTAGGTGGGCATCAGATAATAAATTTGTAGGAAAAATACCTGATTTCATTGGAAATTGGACATTGCTTGAAGATTTGTAAGTAAGCTATTGCACTATTTTTATCTATGAATACATTATAATTATATGATCATTTAACGTATGTAATCCTTTGTTTTTTATTCATTATATTTTGTAATAAAAGAATAAAAGGTATTATATCTATACAGGAGATTTCAAGGAAACTCTTTTGAAGGTCCAATACCATCTAGCTTTTCTTCCTTGACTAACTTAAATGAATTGTAAGTTCTTGATTTTAGTTTAATTAATAGTTGATTACTTATTAAATTTTACTAACTATAGTGCCTTTTTCTTTTCTTGCAGGAGAATAAGTGAATTATCAAACACAAGTTCAACATTGGATTTCATTAAAAATATGAAGAACTTAGTTACATTGTTAGAGAATTTACTAATCAATGAAATAATATTCATAAATATAAGTTATTTTTTTATTTATATTTACACTCCTTGGCTTACACTATCATTTTTTTGTGTGTAGAGTTTTAAGAAATAATATGATTTCTGGTACTATTCCATCAAATATTGTAGAATATTCAAATTTGAAAAGATTGTAAGTTGTAGCTCGTTTTAGTAATTGAAAAAAATGGATAAGAAATAAACAAATAATGTTGTTATAATTCCTCTAGTTTATTGACTTCTATAGGGATTTAAGCTTCAACAATTTAACTGGACGAATTCCAAGCTCTTTATTTACCTTGCAAAACCTCAATATCTTGTAAGTAACATAGATTTTTTCTTATATTTTATTGGATAGCACATCCTGCCAACTAATAATTTGTGTTTTTCTTATAGTTTCTTAAATATCACAATATTTTCTCTTCACATGTCATTTTTTTATGCAACAGATTCCTTGGAAACAATGGCTTATTTGGCCCTCTTCCTGCACAAATGGGACCAAATCTTGTTTATATGTATGTTATTATGGCTAATGTATTTTAATATATGTACTTTCTTTACATGTAAAAAAGTCAGTCTTATATTTGCAATACTTTACTAAATGAGGAGCATTAAATCAAGTTGCTTTATTCATTTTCTTATGTTTTTGTACAGAGATTTATCGTACAATGAACTATCAGGAAGCTTTCCTCCCTGGGTAACGAAACCAAATATACATGTGTATGTTTAAAGAGAAGAAACTTTTTTTCAATCAATTTTCTTTTATCATAGTTCATAAAAATAGTTTAGTAGTTCTCATGATTTGTTTCTCCTATCTCCTTACTTATCCTTGTCAAGCCCCTTAGGCTTTACAAGCTTTCAGGGTTGAATGGATGTTTCTCCTTGCTCTCTAAGTTGTAATTTCTTCTAAAGAAATAATTAAGTCTAATCCCTTTAATTTTTAGTTCATTGGACACACCAATTTTTTAGATTGAATAGAGAAAACTTTCTTTTCCATCTATAGACATTAACTCACCATATAAGCCTAGGTTGGGAAAAATTAGGACTTTTCTTTACCCTAATCTAAATAAAAGAGAGAAGACCTTAATCCTTAATTAAAAGATAAAAAGAGGGTTATACAGTTTGTGTAGGACCTATCAGATTCTCAAATTTATTGATGAGAATATGTGGGTGAAACCAAACTGTTGCCCATTTTTGCTTGAATTAGGAATACTTGTAGAGATGTATGACAACCCAATTTGCTATATGGTTGTTTATACAACCTTATGATCAGCCAAAGTCTTAGTTAAACCTTCTTTAATACAAACATGATGGGCCCGACCACCTGTAATTCCCAGTAAACTACCATTTTAATTAAGTTGTATTAATGCTCAACCAAAGACTTTCTGAACTATCCTTTCACCTATAAAACTTTTCACCACTGCCTCTAGGGAATGGGTTATTCTTTTTGGGGCACAACCCTTGCCTTCTACTCAGATGAATCCCAAAAACTCATTTTAAAAATATGATAATTTATACATTCATTTTTAAAGACACTTATGAAAGTATTCATTCTAACTATTAGACGGGTGGATCCTGTTGTGATGTTTATTTATCTTCATCCTTTTTTTATTTTACCAACATATCCAGGTATACCTCTCAATTGTGCTTTACTGGTTGATGATATTAAATACAAAAAATCCAAAATAAAGTTAAATAATATTTTGGGGATCATTAGTGGCAATGTGAGATTCCGTTTATCATATAAAGTCCACAAGTCATCTCAATGTCCAATTTAGTCTTTGTTTGCATACGAACCCTTGCATGTATTTGAGTCCATTACTCCAATACTCTAACTGATGCAGGAACAAAGAAGCCAATTTTATGCACTCTTTTGTATTTTTAAATATTAGTGATGCTTTTGTTATTTTACAATTTGTGTTCCTAATGAGAGGGTCTAATGTGTTTAGTTTGGTTTGTTTATGTTTGAAGTTTCAGAGTCATTGAATAAGTAGTTTAAGAGTTGTGGAGTCTTCTTTGAATTGGAAAAGGCTTGTGACAATCCAGTAAACTTTATTTTTGAATCAGAAGAATGGAAACGAGGGGGATATGGAGGAAGAGGGTGGGGAGGTGATAACATTAACAAAGGGAATTGAAGAGTGGCTGCAGGAGAGAAATGAAGATTCTTTGGAGCACAGTCAGGTGAGTAAGTTAATGTGGGTTTCAGAGGGCTAACTGAAACCCAATTTGGCATGAATATAAGGTAGTTGTTTTGTCCTCATCAGTCATAAATATCCCTCCTATTCCTGAAATTCTTGGATTTCCCAAACTATTCCCATGAAAATTGATCTTAATAAACCCTCTTTCCCATATAGACATGAATGATAGAGGGATATTTTTGTCTGTTTATACTTTGTACATTAGATTCTTCTTTCTTATTCTTTTGCACATTATTTGTACTTTGGGGACAGAATGGTCCTTTCACCATATAATATAAATTCTATTTCCTGGGTGTTGAACTTTTGACACACCCAACATTTGCTGTCTTCTTCTCTTTTCTGTCTCTCGATCCGACTCTGACTTGGTATCAGAGCAGGTCACGATCTGATCTGCTAGAAGAAGATTTCAGTCTAACTGTTATTTAGGATTCTTCCTATTAGCATTTGGGGGAATCCTCTTGTGTTTCTGTTTTCCTCTGCTTTGGTTGTTTCTATCAGCCCTTGACAGCCTTGTTCCTGTATTTCTTTGCCATCAGCTTTGTTCTCCTCTATATATCTCCTCAAAGAAGTATATTATCTGCATGAAACCTAATATTTGGTGTCACCCAAAGAAGTACTTTTGATCACTTGCTTCCTGATTTCGATTAGATCTGCTTAATAAGGGTTTTGATTTCTCTCTTGGATCAGCTGGTTGGTACAGTTTCCTTTCTTGGACAAGTAAGAATTTTTCTTGGTATTTCTTTAATTATTTACTGTTTAGTTGGACCTTGAAACCCTCCCAGAGATTTCCTTCAATCGACTGAAAGGTATTTACCTTTTCCTCCTCCATTGAAAGCACTTTTGTTGGTTGTTTGGAGTTTCACACTGCTGACTTGTTATCTAATGGCTTCAAAAAGAATGGATGTCTTCCCATCAAGTTTAATGGGCCCGATTATGCTTTATGGAAGTTTCATTTCCAATTCCATGTTGAGGCAAAGGGTCTTTGAGGATATTTGGATGGAACAACTTATAAACCTAATGATTTAAATGCTTAGGCATTGAAACAATGGAAAATTTATAATGCAAAAGTTGTCTCATGGATCCTTGGAGTCGAAGTGGATATTCCAGTTCCTATGAGAGGGTATAGAACTGCTTATGAGATGCATCAATATCTAGAGAAGTTTTATTAGCAATCAAACCTCTCTAGACAATACTAAATTGAAGTTGACATATTTACTTATCATCATGGACAAAGGAGAATTCAGGAATATTATTATGGGTTCATTAACGTCTGGACTGAGTATGAACTGGTACACATGAGAGAGGATCCCTCAACTTGTTGTGTGAATTTTATGAAGGCACACTTTGATATAAGAAAGATGATGCATATCCTAATGCACCTTAGACCAGAATTTGAAGTTGTTAGGTCTAACATTCTTAGTAGAGAGACTCTTCCAGACCTAAACACTACTCTTGGGGAGCTTTTAAGTGAAGAAACTAGGCTTATCACTTTGACTACACTTGATGGGAAGATGGACTCTAACATAGGTGTTGTTTTCCTTGCAACAAAGCCAAAGGGGAAGAAAGATTTTTCTCTAGTGAAGTGTTATGAATGTAAAGAGTTTGGGCATGTTGTCTCACACTACAACAAAAGGAACACCCTACACTTACTGCAAGCAACAAGGACATATCATTACAGAGTGCCCTATTCGACCTCCAAAGGGGGTGGGTCCAATCAGAAGAAGGGGTTTTATAAGGCTTATTGTTGGATTGAAGTCTTTGTATGTATGAGTATTCGGCTGATAAGAGTTCTTATTAGCCTATACTTAAGTTTAAGTTGTCCTGTACTAGGCCTTTGTTAATTGGCCTAATCCTGTTTAATGTTTTAAGTTGTYTGGGTGTCCCATCACTAATCAGGGGCATTCTAGTAACTTCCTGTATCATTGTACTACACCATAATATAAATAATAGTGCTGTCGACTGAACAGTGCAGTTCGACATTCCAGCATCTCTTCTTCTTCTTCTCTTTTTTGCTACTTCGGCTATAGTAATTTAGCTTTCACTTATCAAACATCTATAGAGGTCTCAGATGCCACATTTTCTGCTCTCGCTCTGTACCACAAAGTATGTGGAAGTATATCAGAGGAGAAGATTCAACAACTTATGTCCTTGGCTATCTCTTCTTCTTTCTTAGTTGTTGGTCTATCTGGTAAGACTCCTCCCTTTTGTCTTCATCAAACCATCTTTGGATCATTGATTCAAATTCCTCGAATCACATGACATGGGCCTCCTTTGGTCGGTCTTTTAAACCCCACTCCTATAATAGACACATTGTTACTACTAATGGTGAGAAGTTAGATATTCTTGGTCGTGATGGTTTACATTTATCTACCGCTAAGTCCTCTTACTTTTACCTACCCAAGACCTTATTTGTACCTAAGTTGGCTACCAATTTGATTTCTATTGGACAGCTTGTGGAAGATGATAATATTATTTTGTTTTCTTCTAATGGTTGTGTAATACAAGACTGACAAACTGCAGTTGCAGGTCATCAGGAGTCCAGAAGAAGAAGATGATGGGAGACAAAAAGACGGGGAGTTGGAGAGTGCATAGAGGAGAAAGGGGAGATTTTAGAGAGGTGGTAGGGTAAAAGAGGAATTGTGGGATAGAAGATGAAAGGGCATTAGCTAAAAAGGGACACCTTGTAGGAGGCTTTAAAATGAGGGTAGTTCCTGAAGAGCCTATTTTCTCCTTTTTGAGATTGAACTCGAAGCAAAGTAGATGTGGCATCCACGTGGTTAGCACAGATTTGTTACTACCTATGGGCTATATCAAAGCAACTTTAAAGGAGCCATTGTTTATTAAAGGTAAGGTTTTAGGAGTCAATTATTGAAAAGATTTTAAGAATTGTGGGGCCCGTAGCAAGAGTAAAAGTGTGCTGGAAAATAAAGGATCCTTGGGAATTTGAAAGGGGGATTTTAAGAGAAGGGTAAAGAGGAAGACGTGGGCAGGTATTTTGTTTTAAGCATAAGAGTGGTGACCACCCTCTCAGACCGAGACTTAGGAGGGAAAGTATTAGGGGGTTCAACCAAAACAAAACAAAGAATAGAAATGGATTAGGCACCAAGTTTAAGCAGTTTAAGAGGAGAAAGAGAAAGAGATCTTCTCATAGGCTTCATTTTGGCAAGACAAGAATGAGTTTGGGTTGTCGCCAATTTTGACAGAGATGGAAGGAAAAAAGTGAGCTTGAAGGAGGTGAACCGAGTTAATGAGGATGAGTTTCGCCAACTTGAGTGTGATGGAGATAAGATTGCCCATGGGGAGGTCAGAGGTGAGTATTGGGAGTTTCGAGTTGCAGAAAATTCTTAATCTGACACTGGGTAAGCCTATTTGTTTTGGTACTTTTGAAATTCCTGATGCTCCACTTCAAGAGGGCGGCTGGTTTTGTCTAATAAGAAAGCTATTAGGTGTGAGGGTGATAAGGGAGGAAAGAAGGATGGATTAAAGGAAGGAAAAGAGGATGGTGTAAGGGAGGAAGAAAGC